GGGGGAAGGAGGAAAAAAGTCCTCCTCGACATTTCACATACAGAGTTGTTGGGTACAGCCCTGACTTGTGGACTCAGCTTTGCTTTGCTTCTGTTCTAGCTGTTTCTCTGCTACCTTTTCAGCAGATTTCTTATTACACTGCACTGGATTGCTATATTTTTAACCAGAAATAAACTAAGGATTAGAGCATGTGCCAGTTAAATTCAATTCTTTTCCTTACATGGTCTTACTCCCTCCTGTCGCAGTTCTCCTTCCTCTTTCTCCTCCTTTCCCTTTTCAGGCAGAGGGCTACGGGTGGACAGGGTAAACGGTAACCGAAGGCAGCGAGACCCCAGTAAGGTTTTAATTTCATTTTCCACAGTAACTGCCCATCATCTTCATACCTTTTCCTTCTTTTTTTTTTTTTGTTTTGTTATTTAGTTTTTCCTTCTGGGTCCTTAGTCATCTTCTTTACTCTTGAATGGTTGCTGCATCCTTGAAATGAACCAAATAATGACATATTGTGATTGCAGCCCTAGGAACTCATCCACGTGTTTTGTAACTCTGGCTGCAACTATTTGTAAAGACTCTCGAGGACTTTTTTTGTACATTCAAGCGCATGACACAAAGGTCCCGCCAAGAGTAGGTTAAACAGTTACATGCAAACATAGTACGATATTTAGTTATATATAAAACAACACAAAAATGCCTCTCGTTATCAATCAAATAAAAGTACTAGTGATTTCATGACTAGCTTTTTCACACTGGTGACCAACTAGTTATTCCTGCTCTTACCCATGTAGCAGCAGTTATGTACAAACACAAACGCAACTCGGATTTTTCATCTCTTTGTTCCACAGGATAAAACCTCAGTCGAGCTGAGCTTTGTTCAGAATGAAAGATAGCCAAAGACTAATATTAATTGGTTCCCAAACCACGTGTTTAAAAATAATGATTCCTTTACTAATCACGGAGAGCTGAGCAATTTGTCTTAGTTCTGGGCTTTTCACATTTGCCCAAGGCCAGAAATATTCTTGAGAAGTAGCCCAGAGAGAGAGGTAATTCAGTTTATTTCCCTGTCTTATGAGCCCTGGATTCATACATATCTACCTAAGGCACATTAAAACATCTATCATCGTGGCATATAAATCTATATAAATTGTCCATACCTGCTGTTTTATGTCCACAGTGACAGATGCAGGCCAACAGTTGAAGGTTTACAGCATTATTTTTTTAGGCTGCAATGGTATTTTTATGTTCCTACAGTGGAACATGCAGCACCTGAAACACAAGGAGGGGTTGGGGCTGAAGGAACCAGCCCACCTCCTGCCTTTGCAGGAAAGCCATCGGGAAAAGGGCACCCATCCCTCCCCGGGGACACCCGGGTTCTCCGGCCAGCCCCTACCTGTGCAAGCGATGGGCTAGCTGGTTTGACACCACATCTTTGGGGAAGGCAAGAAGGAAGGAATACAAGAACCCTCCGCCTGCTCGTGCCACGTCAGCTTCTCACCAGCCCATCTGGCGTCTGGTTTGCTTGTACCCGAGACCCAGATTCTCCAAGCACACTGGGACTCTCCAGGGCCTGATCTTTCCGAGATACTGAGCTGCTGCAGCGTCTGTTTACCTTGTGCGGAGTTACGGAGTACTGCTGGGGAAAAAAAAAAAAAAATCCAGACTGCAACAGAAGGGGAGGGGCGAGAGGAGAAATAATGTCATATTGATGATGAAGGTCTTAATTGAAACCTAAAGATTAATTACATGTCCTGACAGGCTTTGGCAAGTGAAGGGAGGATGGAAAAGTAGGAATTATTTAAAACTGTCATAGGGTGAGGTTGGCTCCAGAGATTTGTGCCAAAGCAGAACAGAGCAGAGGCCGGACTGGATCTCCTGCCGGTGCTGCACAGCTTTGCTGCACGTGGGTAAATTGTTGGCAGAAGATGGGCCTTGCAGACCCTTGACGTGGTGGCAAGTTTTCCTGGTGTAGGCAAATTGCTCGACTCCTCGCACAGACCCTAAACGAACTGCATCAGTCGTGTTGTTGCCTATCCCTGATCCTCACAGCAAGGCTCCTTGACCAGCTCTGCACTGAGCCCAAGGCTTGAACCATTGCTGAAGACAACCCTGAGCACAGCAAGCACTAGATAACATGCCTTTGAATAACAGATCCACCGGGACTACGCTTCCCTCAGAGGCATTTCAAGCTCCCGAGTTCCTTTTATTGGTCTGTTTCAACTAATATTAACCCATGGGCACTTAGCTTCAGCACTACCACCAACCTGTTTTTCCAGGGTATGCGTAATCACCTAATTATCATGCCAAGCGACGGAGTTTCAACAGGCAATGAACCCCCATGGCTACTAAAATCAGTGCCCAAAGGGGCTGAATATGTAACTCGGATACATCGTGAGCTGTGTCGTTTCACTGGAGGCATCTCAGAGGTCATGCTCCATAACGTTAAAGGAAACTTCACTTTCTAGATGTTGAGAGATGCTGAGTGTTACCCAAAAGTTTTTGTTGGATAGATGGCTTAGAAATGCTGTGGCAGGTTGCACATTCCCCATCTGGAGATGTCAATGGAAGATAAACTTTAGGGAGACTCACATTCATGCACGGGTGTTATTCACTCAACTACAGTGCTATCTAGTAGACTCACAATCCTTATCATCTGCATGTTTCCTTTCAGCCCCAATTTGGGTACACTATTAACAGCATTGCTAGTCTAGCAAGGCTCAGGCTCTCTTACAGACTCACTTGTTTTAACACAGTAAGAACACCAACCAACATCCAACTTCTTACCTCCTTCGTAAAAGCAGCTTCTCCCACCCCAGCAGCAGCTGCATTTTGGTATCAGGCGTTTGGTTGTGTTGGAAGGGAGAGCTGCAAGAATTACTCCTGCAAGCAGCAGGAGCACTGCTCCCCAATCCCTTCAGTCTGGAGGATGTTTCAAAGCTTTTTTCTTGTTTGTCTGTAATGTTAAGTCACTGTGGGTTAGTGATGAAAGATGCTCTGCTGTTGAGCCAACCGCTGTTTCCCAGCAGAAGCTAAAGCATTTGACATGCTCCCGTTCCCACTCCCCCAGCCCTGGGAGACCTGCATTTGTGCAAACGTGTATATCTTTAGTTTTTCTGTCTTGCTGACAGACAGAGCGTGCTCAGGGCTGTTCAGCACTGGCTGGAGCCACCCATGGTATTGCTGGAGCAAGCAAGCAGTTCTGACAACACAAAACAGACAGTGAATGAACCCAGATTCTCTTCAAGACAGATGAGGAAGGATGAGATCAGCCCAGAGTGTGCAGAGCATGACAAGGCTGACAAACAAGGAATTTTCCAGCAGAAGAGTTTAGGACTGGTTTATCTCCACAAGCCACCACAGCAGGTAGGCAGCACTGCGAGGAGACCAGCAACTTGGCATGATTGAACTAAGCCTTCACTATTAGCAAAATCCCGTGAGCGGAGATGCTAGGAACGGTCTTTCCATCTACAAACAGCATTTATCTCTGAGTCAGCCCAATTACCCCGATTGCTCTCTGATAAACTCCACAGCAAGGTTCATTCGCTTCCATACTCGTCACACTGCAACACACACGCTGATGTGGGGGAGAAACAATCCCATGTGTTACAAGCTAAGCTTGAGTTAGAAAGTTAGTGGTTTCACGTCTATTGTGGCCTTTTGTGTGCAACCCCTAAAGTAAAAGGCACTTCAGCTGGCACTCTCCTTTATTTGCTTTTTCCCTTCCTAGCTGTGCATGTAAATGTAACAGAAAAATCCAATTTCACTGTGTTACAGTGCAATTACAGTTATGTGTGTGGCCCAAAGGAAAGGCATTACTGAATACATTTTCCTCAAGAAGTGAGCAAAAGCAAAGAAAGTTACTTTCAGCCTTGTCTTTTAGCTGAAAAAAACACCCCAACAGCTTGATTGTTTCCAGATACAATAATAAACTGAGGTCTCTTTCTCCTATGTAAATGTTTATACATTCATCCCTTTACAAGAAGATGGGCAAAAGCAATGGTCTGATGGATGCCAAAGGAATAATTGAATCTTATCTGGGCGTTCATACATTAAAAATGGTACATGCTGTTCTTTGTGCATGTCAGACAAGAATAACTACTGTTATGACAGACACTGCTGGAGTTTCTTGGTTCCTAGTTTTTCACCAAGTTCTAGCCCCAGGCCTTATCTTGGGTATCCTTTTAGGTAAGCCACTTCATCGATGTGTCTCTGCCTGCAAAATACTTACCTTCCTTTTTAAGGTACTTTTGGACCCAACACAAGAAAAATAATGAGACCGTTGATCCAGCAACCCTGAACAGGCTTCAGGGGACTTTCAGCCAATCCTCAGAGGAGCAAGGTACCATTACAGGTTGCTATCAAAGTATCACAGTTTGCATTTCTTAAGACCATGGCAGGGCCCATCACATTCTGACCTCCTCTACAGGCACTTAATGTAGTACTAATACTCAGTCAGCCCTGCTTAGGTGAGAAGTTTTACCTTTTCTCAGAGGTTTCACTTGCTCAACCAACACATGACAGCTTCCAAGGCTTCCACAGTTACACCAGCAAAAGATGGGTCAGGGTGTCCAGAGAGATCTTTGGCGGTCGCTGGCTGCAGGGCTCACAGGAACGCTGCATTTGTCTTGTTCATTCTGCTGAACGGTGCCTGCAGATGCACCAGAATTAATTTCCGTCTCAAGTCCGATGGCTGCAAATGCTCCAGTGAGAACGGACACTGTGTGGGTTTCAGTCCCCATGCAGGCTGTTCCAATTACAGTGCTTCGGCCTCGGAGCTGAAAACAGCCTCAATTTTCAGGACAGGACAGTTTGCCATGGCAGCATCATCTCATCAAACAACCTAAGGAGGGCCACCAGAGCCCCCTGAACCAAGCTGTATGACCACCCACAGCCTATGCTGCCTCATCTAAAAACCCAGCTCTGGGAAGAACTAAACCAAGCTGCATGCCTAGGTCAGGCCAACCGCACAGCAGGGCAGTGACAGCCCTGGGAAGCCAACATCTCCCCTGCAACCCACCCCCAAAGCCTCCTCTCCCTCAGCTTTGCGAGGCAGGCGGTGTGCTCCCCATGGGAGGCTGCACCAAGACACTGCTGCGCTGCTCGCAGGAACAGGACAGCTGGCCCATCCTGACTCACAGGTTCCTTGGAAGCGTCTCTCTTTCAGTCTATGCCTTCTCCAGTCCTTAGCTTGGCACAGAGCACAGCTAAGACGACGTTCCAGAGCCCTTGAGGGAAAGATGAAAAGGAAAAACCTCAGATTATCATTGCACACACTTCAGCTCATCTGATGGATCTAGTTCCCTCATCCAACAATCTCTCTATCGGAGAAGGCAAAGGGAGAATCTCTTCCGGTGGCTGCAGCAGCACCGTACAAAACTATCCTTCGTCTTTGCAACTGCTGCAACCTGGCTTCTGCTCAGGGAAAAAAATTCTTTCAAGGTGTGTATCTGTATTTGAAAATGCAAAAAATTATAAAGTACACCTGGCAAAAAGTGTGTTTCCCTGTCTGGTTGGGCCTTGGGAATGGAGTCCTGTGCACAGACGCTACGATTTTAAAACCACTATTTTTCAAACAAAAATAGGTAAATAAATATGTAATAAACCCCAAATCTGCAAATGCAACTCAGTGGCAGATTCCCCAAAACTTTGCACAGAAAGCCATGGATGTCATACACACAGAAAGGATCAGAAGTCAAAGAGATCAAGATATGGTAAAGTAACCCAAGCGACAGGACAACAGGGTAACTGATGCTGTGAGCCAAACCAGCACTACGGATTCTTTCCTAGGTTATCAATAAATTGCTTGTTTTGATCTCTCACCTGTTATTTTGCATGGAAGGTACCTCCCTATCCAACATGTTTTTATCTTGACAATTAAATCACATTGGCAGCCTGCTCTATTTAATCTTTGTTACACCCTAATTAGCCTTGCAGAACGTAGCACTGCTCTCCTGAGAGCTGGTTCCCTGGTGATGCCCCCGCCAAAACAATACCCATGGTACCCTGGATTTCTCTGCACAAGGACAGCCAGTGCCTTCTGGTGTCAACTCAAGTAATCACTTGTTTGCTGCAACAGACACACTTGGATCCCATCTGTTGTCCCTATGGAACACAGCACTGCTCTGCTGGAAAGAAAGCGATGCCTTGAGGAGAGGGGCTGAGTCAGGAAGCAGAGGTAAAAAAAAAAAAGAATCCTTTGAGAGCACCAGCCCGCTCCCTCCTGTCCTCAACACGCCATCAGGTCTCAAGGTAGGACATTTCACTGGTCGTAAAGAGTTCAGCTGTAGGACAACTGTTTTCTTGGCCAACATGTGAGAAACTTAATTGGGAGATTCCACAAGCGAAGGCAAAACCTGCTACAGCTAACATTAAAAAGGAAGAGACTTCTACTGTTACATGCATCAGAGGTTACAGTGGCTCTCATACAGATAAGGTATGAAAGGATTCCCAGGTTTCTCCAGGCAGCATAGCCACATCTCAGGGCTGCTGGTGCATCTCATGACCACTACCCGCATATTTCACAGCAGGAACAACGATCCCTCTTCCGCAGCCAGAGAAAAACAAGTAGAAAAGCTAGAACGGGATTAATTGAGAAAACCAAGTAAGTTTATTGTAGAAACCCTTGGAGACACATTCTGACCCCAGTCAGGGTAGGGAATTTGGGACCAGTGAACCATTGTGATGTCCAGTTTGTCTTGACAGACTCAAAAAAACCTTTTGAGCAAAAGTATGACAGTATTGTGTACACCAGCCACAGCAGAACAAGTACTTGGATGGCAATCCTGTTCCTCAGGACCCTCCCACTACCTTCAGGGGAATAACAGCATATCCAGAGCATTAATCAAGTAGACATATCAAGACTGGTCAGCCCAGCAGCACTCACAGAGTAGGCAAAAGCTGGAGTGCCAGGATGCCTTCCGGACACGCTGACTGCCTGGCACATCAGGTTGAGTTCAGTGGGGCTAACCACTGCTCCCAGCATGTTTCTTCACTCATGGAACAGCCTCCATAACATCTAGACTGAATCTTCGTAGAACGTCTTTGCCATGGCATGTGCCACTTTTACCACCTTCTTCTCCTTGGCATCCGGGCCCATGTTGCTGCGGGCTAGTTTAATCCAATACTGCTCCGTCCTGGATAGATAGTCTGCATGCTTCTCATCAGGCTGAACAGATGGGTGTTGCTCCTCTCCTAGTACACAATGGGAGGAAGACAGAAAGAGAGGTCACAAACAGCTAACGAAGGCAATCTGCTCTTCCACGCGTCAACCCGGCCAAGACTACTCTTCAGCTAATGTGTTTAAATGTAACAGACTAAAAACCTATCAGTAACCAATGAAATTCCTCTTCCACCCTGAAGAGCAGTGTACTATGAAAACTTCACTTTTGCTGGAAAACTCACCTGCGTGCCAGTGAGGCCTTCCAGGCTGGCAGTAGAACCAGCAGGTAGTGTACTAAACCCCACTTTATATTAGTACAAAGACAACATTCATCTTAATGATTACCTTCTTCATCCTCACTCTCCTCTTCTGAGCTCTCCTCTTCCTCTTCCCCTCCCTCTGCACCTTCCATATCATCATCCTCTTCATCCGACTCCGACTCCTCCAGCCATTCTTGTGCTTCTTTGATGAGAAAGAAAACAAAAGAAATAAGTAACAAGCTGTTTCCCACTCTTACAGCCAGAACTGTCATGGAGGATGCCAGGGCAAGGTCAGGCAGATGTGCTCCTTAAGAGCCCTGCTGTATCCATTGCCCTCACAGATCCACCCACTGTACAGGGCCTGGCTCTGATGGGGAGCAGTGGGAAGAGATGAAACAGTCAGGAAGAAGTGAACAGCACAGAACAGCTGTGGAAGAAAAGCTGGTTAGCGCTGATGCTGACAGGAGTCAACTCTCCTCCCTAGCACTTCACAGTTCTGTGATCATGAGCAAGACTCCTTCCTTTCTGCCCTTTGCCCATTACACACATGCAGACCGTAAGCTTCCAGGGCAGGGGCACCCTCTTTTAATGTCTCTACAGTGCCTAGCACACGACCTGGGATGAATCGCTTAGCCACTACTGTAGGAGATATGTTGCTCTAAGATAGACCCACAGTTTGTTTCAGTAACGAGCAGAAAAATCCATCAAATCAAATCCATCGTCACTGAGGTCTCTCAGGTAATGCTTTCTGCAACACTACTGAACACTCATGCAATGACCGTGTAGCCAGGAATTCAGGGAACTGACTTCTATGCTTGCCGCATCCCCTGAGCTAGACTTCCCAGCTTAGGAACAGCTCAGCAGGGTATTCAGAGCATGCAGCAAGCACACTACGTATTGAAGCTACAAAGAGACAACCCTAGCTAATGTCTACATGCTTTGCAGTATCTGAGACTCTCACTTCCCTGAGGAGGTGAGGACAGGCAAGAGCATACATCCCTGTTCCCTGCCAAGCATGGCACAGCAGGACTTCCCAGGCCAGAACTTGCCATCAGCAAACAAAGAGGTTCTGTTTACAGGTCTTGGTTTTCAAAGTAGACAGACCAGAGCTCACTCTCTACGGTGATCACAAAGCCCTGGCCAGACAAGTTTCTGCAGTGACGGTGACCATAAGACACTGCAAGCTTTTTCCTGTCCAGGAAAAAACACTACCCAAAGGCTCATCACCATCCCTTGAGGAAGCTCCACAGTTGGATTTTTTTCTTCCTAGCACAGTGTTGCTACACTAAAGGTAGAGAGAGAGATCCCACCATCAGAGCTTACTTGGATCCATCTCCACTAGCACCTTCCATTCTTCCATCTTGTGTAGGTCGATGCTGTAGAGGTCACTGAGGGTAAACTGGCGATCGCCCACCTCAAACATTCCTCCATACACATACAGAACCCCATGCTTCACCGCCAACATGGCATTCGAACGTGGGCATGGCTCCACTTGCTGGCCCAAGGCTCCAACTTCCTCCTCTTCCTCCGATTCGGACCTCTCCTCTTCTGCAGGTCCAGAGATCACCTGCTTGATTGTCATGACAGTCCCATCTTCTGCCACCACCTCTTTGACTATCTCCACTGGGCCTTGTGGAGATTGCTTCTCCATGTCCTTATCTCCGGCACCATCTGCCTCAGCTTGTCTGCCACGTCTGCGCTTCCTCTTCTCTGATTTTGGTCCCTGTTAACAGGCGCAAGGAACAGGAGGAGACTGCATGTGAATTGTGTGCACCTAATAGCATGTACAGCAGTTAACACAAATACTACGGATGCTGCTGGGAAGGAGGGGGGAGAATTCAATTATTTTTCACTACAATTATAAGTCTCAAGTGATAGGTGCAACCTCCCACTCAGCATGAACTTCCATCAGGCATAAAACAAGGAGCAATGAAACTCCTGGAGAACCCATGGCGTGGAGTTGCTTCCTCTATCAATGGCAGCATGCGCTGAAGAGACACAAACCAGCTCTTTTGCTCTCTATCTTGCAGGCACACACAAACACACACACACAGTCCACTAGTCTGTGACAGGAGCAAGAGAAAATAACCCACTATTTCATGAAATCAAAACAATTGCTGGGTGCTAAATTACAGTGCATTACCAGGAAGCACTCCAGGTCTTCGAAGTACTGCATGAAAGGGCTTGAAAACAGTCAGCTAGTAAGGCAGAAGCAAACATCTGAGTGCATGTTTGCCTGTTATGTGATTGACTTCTCCTTTTTAAGAACAAAGTTAGAAACAGTGGGGGTGGAAAGAAGGAAGTTCAACCAGGTCATTTGCACCTCACTTCCCCCTTGAGAGTGGTTCAAAGAAAATCAATGATCAGAGCTGAGGGCCACATTTCTGAAGCTCTTATGAGCCAAGGTTAATATTTCATCTCTTCTAGTAGCTCATCAACACTGGGGAAAACACTGAGGTTTTTTGATCCCAACGTAATGCAAGATCTTTTCATATTAGCTTTTACTGAACTATCTCACATCAGACTTACACATCTGACCTGAAGCTGCCCTCCAGTAAAACACCAGAACTATGTTTTCATACTGCTTTGTTTTGTTTTGCATTACCCAACAACAGGGCACATGCAGCCTGACTCCTGGAGGAGGGGGATTGCCTCCTGAACCACTCTCGCTTTGTGCCCAACCACCAGGGCTCACAGGCTTCCTCTCTCCCCAGAAGGGTGACAGCCGGCACCCCACTATGGAAGCAGGCCATGGACAGCACAAGGAGCTACGTGGCGGGGAAAGAGAGGGGCAGCATAAAGTTAGAGAATTCAGTTGTTCTGGTAGCAAAAACCTGCTAGAGTCACACATCCCCAGCTTCTTTTCTACAGCCTCTCCCCCTCTTCACAATCAGTGGGTCACAGATCAAAGCAGCAGCCAGACCTGGTGGCTCAGCTTCTGGAGCACTCAGTTATTAGAAACGGAGGCTTGCTCCACACTGTGAGAAAAGCTGAATGAGGCCCAAAAAGACACATGCAAGATGACCAAGGAGAATGAACTGAATATATCTGTGTTATTTTTAAAACAAAACCTTCAGCTGTCCAGGAAACCAGCGGTTTTTCCCCATGTCATAGAAATAAATATCGTTGAAGAAGTCCCCTTCAATGCTCTCTTCCTCCTCTTCATCATGCACACCTCCAAACAGAAGGGAGCGGTTATTGGGGCCAATTGCCGTGGAGAAGCCAGACCTGGGTGTGGGTTTCACTCCGGATGGGTTGAGGCGACTCCATGCCCACTTGTCTGGTAATGGATAAAAGCAAATATGAGCATCAGTAAAGCAGAATCCTGATTGTTTTCACATCTTCCAAGGCCCTTCAGCAAGTAACTCAACGACCCATCTTGGACATTCTCAGAACCGCACAGTGTGCCTTCAACAACAACGTTAATCAGAACCACCCGCATTTCCACTTCCATCGCGCAGCTAGTCCACACATCCCTTCTACCCTTTGAAAGCTGTTGTATCTCCAATAAAAGTAAATGTGGAGAGCTATCTTCATGGTGTGCTTTCTGGGGCAAGGAACCTCTTGAAAGGTGTATATACCTTTACAGGAGGGTGGAGTTCAAACAAGGACTGATCATATATAGCTTCTGAGTACCAAGGAAATGTACCTTGGTTATCCCATGGAGCCCACCCCTACATCAATTCTCTGCACAGGACGCTTCCATTACAGTACTTTTATTTGCCAACTTGCACCACTGCCTTCACCCCAAGAATAAGTACAGTTCAGTGCAAGGAGACCCACTTTAAAAAAAGGACTCAGCAGCAGGAGAAAGCTTATGCTCTAAACCCTCTGCTTCTGCTCCAATCCTTTCTACTCTGGATTTAGAGCAAATCCCCAAAATGCAGGCTGGGAGAAGCATATGGACTGGCTAGGCACTGCGCTTCCAAAGGAACCACAATTTCAACAAGATAAACTATAAAAATGACATAATGTAGGCAGGGTCTGGATTCCAGACATTATATGTTACCAACCCTCCCTAAATCCCGCTTTAAGACAGCCAGGTTTAAAGAAATCAATCACAATTTTAACATTTTAGAAATTCAGCTCAAAGAAGACTGTCCCATTCCCTGAGCCAAGGACAAAATACACTCTCTCCTAAGAAAAGAGATGGAATTCCTATTTCTGGGGACATTCACAGATAAAACAACCAACGAACCAAAACCCACTCTCGATAATATCGCTGCACTAGGCAATCTAATGAGATCACACCCCAATCTTCTCTCAAGAGTCCGTAAGTGAGACACCGCTACCAAAGAGAGTTTGTCAAAACAGGAATTTCCAGCATGGAGATGTATTGGGTTTGCATGGCAAGGTTTTGGTAGCCAGGTGGCTTCTGTAAGAAGCTGCTAGAAGCTTCCCCCATGTCCGATGGAGCCAATGCCAGCCGGCTCCAAGACGGCCCTGCTGCTAGCCAAGGCCCAGCCCATCAGTGACAGGGGTAGCTCCTCGGAGAGAAGAGAGTCAAGAAAGGGGGGGAAAAAACCTGCACAACTGCAGCCGGAGAGGAGTGAGACTCTGTGGTAGGAGCAGCCCTGCAGCCCCC